TCCCTCCAGCCCTGCCCTGGTCCCCAAGCCCAGCCTACCCCCCGGGCGGAGTGGTGGAGCCTGGGGCACCGGCTTAACCCTCACCGCGGCCTCTTTCCACAGTCTTATCTCCAGACCTTTTCCTACAAGAGCACCACTTACCTGGACCTGTGGGAGCACCTGCAGAAGGTGGGTAACAACCTGCCCCCCGAGCCATTCTTTTGGGGTCCTGAGATGCTGGATGTCCCTGGGGGAGGAGGGGAGGGGAGCACCCGTGTAAAGGAATGTGTCCCGTTCACTGCCCACCAGCCCGGGCAGGTCATTTGGAGCCTTGGTTGGTGATTGGGAGAATGGGCGCTATGATGGCTCCTTGAAGGAGGGGGTGTCCTTGAAGGAGGGGGTGTGAGAACCGTGGGCCAAGACCCCACCTGCCGCACCCCGTCGAGAGCTGTCGCGAGCTCCGTGATGGGAGCCCAGGAATCCACGCCTCTGTGTGCTCAGGACACGGGCCTCCCGGCTCTCGGGCCCGAGCCCTCCTCTGCCGGAACTTTGGAGCCATTCAACCTGCTCAGCAGTCCTGGCTGCCCTGTGCCCTCCCGGCCCCTCCCCAGCACGACTTTGCACCCCAGCACCCTCAGCACAAGCTGGGACCTTCCCATCCGGCCCCACCTTACATTCTTCTCAACTCAGACCCAGAGCAGCCCTGTCTGTGGGGCAGACCCTCTGACCACCCTCCCGCCGCCCCTCCCTGCTCCTAGGCTGGAGTCTGCCCGTTCTCCTCCATCCCCACCTCTTCCTCTCCCTCCCAGCGGCCCCACCCCTTCCCTGGGGCCCTCCTCACCCCAGATCACCCCTCCAGCCCCCAGGTGCCCTGGCTCTAAGGCTAGTCTGACCAGGGAGGGGGACCAGGGCTTTGTCACAGCCCCAGCTGGGCTCCAGGCTCCTCTTGGCCAACCTCCAGCTCAGGTTCCATCTGCCAGGAGCCTGGTCCTCCTCCCCTCCTCCCAGACCGACTCGGTCCCTCCCCTCCACTTCCACCGGCTTCCTTGCCCTGCCTCAGTTTCCCACGCCTCCTGCGAAGATGAGCCCTCCTCCATGCCAGCTGCCCCGCCAGCTCCATCCCTCCCTCCGGTTCCCTCTTTCCCTGAGCCCCCTCTTTCTGCAGCCCCCGGAGCCTCCCCCCTTCTCAGCCTGTACCCTCCAACACATTCTTCTGCCCGCCTTTTTTTGCCCTGTTGTTGTTTTTATTTTCTCAGTTATTAACAGACATTGTCGGCATGTTGCTGTTGTTATGAAAACAATACGTATGGATGGAAAGAGAGAAAAAAGACCGCTGAGTATAGTAGCCACCACCTTCAGCCGGTCCCCAGGCCCCCATCGGGGTGTCCACGGCTCTCGCCCTCGCTCTGACTGCTCCCTCACCTGTGTGTCCTCTTCAGGCTGTGAGCGAGCAGTCGGCCATCAAGCTGCCTAAGGATGTGAAAACCATCATGGACCCCTGGATCCTGCAGATGGGCTTCCCTGTCATCACCGTGGACACCAAGACAGGGACCATCTCTCAGAAGCACTTCCTCCTCGACCCTGACTCCGTCGTCACCCGCCCCTCAAACTTCAGGTGAGCAGACCGGTCCCGAGGGGCCTCGCCCGCGGTGGTCCCAGCCCCAGCGGCTGTCCGCAGGCTCTCCTTCCTGGGCCAGGAGGAGGGGGGCGCTTGGCGCCAG